GGATTACTTCAGTAACTCTCAACTCTAAGGACAGTCTTGCCTCTAGCTCACATTTTCTCTTCTGTGTGAATTGCCCTCATTCTCCGTCTAGTTAACCTTCTACATATTCATTAAATTGCAGTTCAGTCACCTTCTTCCTTCTGGCTCTTTCTGTATACCATTTTTCTCCTTCTCCTGTGTGCAGCTCTTGCACACCTAGTTAACTTATCAACATCTCTGATTGTTTTAGTCATTTATTACTATATGGATCTTGGGGCATTATTATTAGAGAATGAAAATAATGTGGTTTGAACTTTATTCCTCAACCTTGAGCCTTTCCAGGCTTTCCTTAGATGATAATCTTAATTCTTATCTCTGAATTGAAATTTTATCTGCCTGCTCTTTAGATACTGTCCCCTTCCATGTCTGTTTTTTTCTCTTTTTAAACTTTCTGCCTCTAATTTTGAACTTCTTTCTGCTCTTTGACTTAAAATCTTTCTTTTTAATTGTGCATAGGAAATATTTCTTGAGCTTTTCACTGTTATTAGAAATGTTAATGCAGTGGCTGGGTGACTCATTGTCACAGATGCTATTAAAAAGAGGCCAATATTGGATAGTAGGTGCTATAGTTTGAATGTCCCTTCCAAAACTCACGGTGAAATTAAATTGCCATTGGGAAGGTATTAAGAGGTGATCAGGCCATGAAGGCTGTGCCCTCCTGAATAGATTAATGTTGTTGTCACAGGAATGGGTTTGTTGTCACGAGAGTGGGTTGTTATAAAAGTGAGTTCAGCCCTCTCTCACTCTTGTGCTCTCTTGCCCTTCTGCCTTCTTCCATGGCATGACACAGCATGAAACCCCTCACCAGATGCTGATGCCATGCTTCTGGACTTCCCAGCCTCCAGAATCATGAGCCAAATACATTTCTGTTCATTATAAATTACCCAGTCTATGGTATTCTGTATGGCAACATAAAATGGACTAAGGCAGAAATTGGTACTGAGAAGTGCTGCTATTGCTACAAATGCCTGAAAACGTGGAAGCAGCTTTGGAACTGGATAATGGATAGAACCTGGAAGAATTTGGAGGAACAAGCTAGAAAAAGCCTAGATTGCCATAAACAGAGTATTAAGGGTGATTCTGGTGAGGGCTCAGAAGAGGAGAGCTATAGGGAAAGTCTAAAACTTCTTAGAGATTCCTTAAGTGTTCGTGATTGGAATGCTGGTAGAACTAGGAACAATGAAGAACATTCTGATGAGGTCACAGATGGGAAAGAGGAATATCTTATTGGAAGCTGGAGTAAAGGCAGTCCTTGTTATGAAGTGGCAGAGATCTTAGCTGAATTATGTCCATAATTCAGGGCTAGGGCTAGGGCTTTATGGCAGATGAAATTTAAGAGCAATGAACTAAGATATCTGATGAAAGAAATTTCTATGTGAAACATTTAAGGAGCTATGTGGCTACTTTTAAGTGCATACACAGTAAGATGCAAGAGGAAAGAAATGACTTAAATACAGAATTTATAATTAAAAGAGAAGCAGAATGGAAGGACTGAAAATTTTCAGCCTTGCCATGTAAAGAATGAAAAAATGTGTTTGGAAGAGCAAACCAAGGATGTGGCCAAGCGACTGCATGCTAAGGAGATTCATATGGATAGAAGGGGTCATCAAAACAATGGGAGAGTAACCCTGAGGGCCTTTCAGAGATCTTCAAGGCTGCCTCTTTCATCACATGTCCAGAGCTCTCCGAGGGCAGAATGGTTTCAGGGCATGGGCCTGGTATGCCCTCCATGGGCTTGCTGCCCAGAGTTGCGTCAGGTCTCTGTGCCCTGCATTCTGATGGAGTGTAGTGCTCCTTGGCTGCTTCAGCCTTGGCTCAAGCAGCCCCAGGTGTGGCTTCACCCACTGCTCTGGAAGATATAAGCCATAAAGCTTAGTGATGTCCACGTGGTGCTAATTCTGTAGGTGTGCAGAATACAAGAGCCATGAGGACATGGCTTACTTTACCTAGATTTCAAAGGATGTCCTGGACAGCCTGGGGGCTCAGGGAGAGACTTGTGATGGGGTGGAGCTACCACAGAGGCAATTGCCTACTAGGGCAATGCTGAGCAGAAATATGGGGTTGGAGCTGCCAGAGAGAGTTCCCCACCAGGGCAATGCCTAGGGCAGCATGGGAGTGGGGCCACTCCTGAGACCCCAGAACTATAGAGCCGTCAACTTGCAGCATCAGCCTGGGAGAGCTGAAGGAACAAGACTTCAACCCATGAGAGCTACTGGTTGGACTGAGCCCAGCAAAGCCATAGGGGTGAGGCTGCCTGAGGCCTTGGTGGCCCAAATCCTGCCCCAGTGTCCCCAGAAGGGAGAACATGGAGTTAAGGTAGATTATTCTGGAGCTTAAAGACTTAATGTTGATTTCCCTGTTAGATTTTAGACTTATTTGGCACCAATTACGCCTTTCTTCTTGCTTATTCCTCCCTTTTGGAAGGGGAATGTCTACTTTATGCCTGTCCTACAGTTGGTATTTTGGAACCACATAATTTAATTTCACAGGCTGACAGCTGGAGAGGAATTTGCCTCAGGATGAATCATGCCTTGAGTCTCACCCATGTCTAATTTAGATGAGACTTTGGACTTTTGAGTTGATGCTGGAACGAGTTAAAACTTTTGGGACTTTGGGGATGGAATGAATATATTTTGCATTGTGAGGACATGAATTTTAGGGACCAGCGGCAGAATGCTATGGTTTGAATGTGTACCTCAAAGTTCATGTGTTATTAATAGAAGCTTAATCCCCAATACAATGGTGTTGGGAAGTAAGGCCTAGTAAGAGATGATTGGGTCATGAATGGTTTAAGGTCATTACCATGGGAGTGGGTTGTTATAAAAGCAAGTTTGGCCTTCTCTTGCTCTTGCGCTCTTTTGCCTTTCCACCTTCCACCATGGGATGACATAGCGTGAAGGCCCTCCCCAGATGCCAGCACCGTTCTCTTGGACTTCTCAGCTTCTAGAACTGTAAGCCAAATAAATTTCTGTCCATTATAAATTACCCAATCTGTGCTATTCTGTTATAGCAACAGACTATAGGTTAAGCTAGATGATTGAAAAGCTTAGAATGAGAGGACATTCTAGCTGAAAAGGACCTTAGAGAGAAACAGGGGTTTCCAAACATGATTATGAATGAGAATCAGAAAGAGTTTTTAAAAAATGAAGCAGGTTTTTGAGCTCTACTCTAACGGCTTCTGTATGTGAATCTCTGTAAGCTTGGCTATGATGCATAAAAAGATCCTTAGGAGATTCAATGAAGTAAGCTTGATCCTGGTTATCAGATTTTCATTTAGAAACTGTTGAGGTAGTCTGAACTCTCCATTTTACAGATGAAGAAATTAAGGTGTAGTTCACATACCTAGTTAACACCAAATCTATGTCTAGAATCAGTTCTCCTGATTATTAGCCCATTATTATTTTCTTTTTGCACATTGATACCTCTTCTGTATCATTCATTTAGGTAACCAACAAGCATTTATTCAGTTGTCTTCAGATTAAGTGCTATTTCCCTTAGAGGAGGCAATATAATATAATAGTTGAGAATGTAGCTTTAGAGCTAGAGTGTCTGAGTTCATATCTGGCTCTGTCATTTCCTGTTTTTGTAATCTGGGTTAAGTTATTGACAAACTTTTGCCACAGTTTCCTCATTTGTAAAATGAGGATAATAATTACGGAAGTTGACATTTATATTTTCTAAGATACTTTTTATGATTTAAGAAGGTCCTTTTTGTTATAATCTAGACAGTCCAAAAAAGATAAATTTGCCAGTTAGGATTAGTTTTAGTGAATTAACATATTAAAAAATAAATTAATGAATTGGGGCCTTGTACAATGTAGATGGTTATTGCTCTCTCCCATTAAAGAAATCCAAAAGTAGGCATCCTAGAGTTGATGATGGCTTCATGATTATGTAAAGCCCAAGCTCCACCTACCTTGCTGTTCTAGCATCTTTGGTGTTTTACTTCATGATCCAAGATGGCTTCTTGTACCCCAGCAATCATGTTGCAGTCTAGCCAGCAGGAAAAAGGGGGCGAAGAACGATTGTTTTCCCTTCCAGGAGGACTCCTCCCAGCAGTTGCATACAAAATATGTGCATAATCTCATGGGCCAGAACTCAGTCATTTGGCAAAGGAGTCTGGAAATGTCTCCTTTCCCGGTAGTTATGTGCTAGCTAAGAACTGAGGGCTCTGTTACTTAGAAAGAAAGGAAGAATGGATATTGGCATCTGCTCTTTCACAATAACAGTATGAATTTTCATGGCTCTTACTGAATTCATTTAGGTTATACAAATTGAAAGGAATCAGAACCTGAGTATACTTTGTTATTGAGCGAACTTTCACATTGAAGGCTCCATCAGTCTCGTTTGGTACAAGAATGTGCCTAGGAGCATTTCGTTTGGCAAAGCATGGTCATCACTTCAATCATAGCTCATTAAACAATGAGCTATGAGAGCAGCAACTTTTCAATAGACCTGATTAATCGGTTATCTTTCCTAATTGAATTGTTTTTTAGCTTCTAAGGGAAGTAAAAAGATAAAAATGAAGGACAGTTTGTCTTTGATCAAGTAGTATGGAGACTTATAGTAAACATTTACTAAATGATAGCTGCTTTTTTATTATTATTATTATTATTATAACTATTTGATTAGAGCATCCCCGAAGTCGCTTACAGTTTAAATATTGTCACTGGATTCCAGTCTTGAATTATTTCAGTAGTGAATGGTAACTTTGACAACTTTGCTTTTTTACTTTGTTTTAAATGTGAACCTCTGTTATTGTTTTAAAACTTCTAGTTCTCAATTTTGAACCGTATGGCCTCTCCTTTTCTTCACCTGGCTTCACTGGACGACAGTCTCCTGCTGGCATTTCTCTTGGTTCAGATATATCTGGGAATAGTGCTGAGACAGGGCTGAAAGAGTAAGTTCTTTTTATTAAAATTGAGAATATGGGAGTGTTTAAATGTCTTTTAGCATTCTGTTTGCCTTCTGTTTCTGCTTTGTATCATCATGATCATTATTGGCTTAGTTTAGGATGATTTCCAGGAAGTTTATTATTTCATTCATCTTCAAATAATTTTCAAAGGGAGAGGCACATTTGTGACAGCGTGTTTTAATATAATGGCTTAGAAGGGTTCCTAAAAGTTAAATTTTGTATGAGTTATTTCTGTTGTTTCTATTTATTTGCTCTGAATGTATTGTTATTGTACAGCATGTTCTTATACTTTAAGAGTTTACTTACCTTCCAAGATAGCATAAGATGTATACAAGCTTCACACAGCAATAATGTGTGTTATTTGCTGCATATGGAAAAAAAAAATATATATGTATATGCATATATTTTAAGAAGTGTATTAGAATTTATATACCCAGGTAATTATTCAGCATATCATTCTATATTCTTCCTTCTGATAAATACTTCTAATAACCATCTCATTGGAAGATTAACAGATATAATAGAGATGAACATTAAATAAGATGATTGATTTCACCTGAGGAAGCTGTACAGTCATCTGAAGAAGGTGTATACAAATGCTCCTCCACTTACAATGGGGTTATATCCTCATAAACCCATTGTAAATTGAAAATATCTTATCAAAAATGTATTTAATACACCTAACCTACCAAACATCATAGCTTAACCTAGCCTACCTTAAACATGCTCAGAACAGCATTGAGAGAGAGTATTGTATCGCCTATTACTATCCTGGGAAAAGACAAAAATTCAAAATTCAAGATAGGTGTGGTGTCTCACACCTGTAATCCCAGCTACTCAGGAGGCAGAAGCTGAGGCAGCAGGATTGCTTGAGGCCAGGAGTTTGAGACCAGCCTGGGCAACATCTCTAAAAAGATTTAAAAATTAGCCAGGCGTGGTGGTGCTTGCTTATAGTCCCAGCTACTCAGGAGGCTGAGGCGGGAGAATCACCTGAGCCCAGGAGTTCAAGGCTGCAGTGGTCTATAATCATTTCACTCCACTGTAGCCTGGGCAACAGAGCGAGACCCTGTTTCTTAAAAAAAAAAAATAATTCAAAGTATGATTTCTACTGAATATGTATTGCTTTCACACCATTGTAGTTGAAAAATCATTAAGTTGAACGATTATAAATCAGGGAACATCTATATTCACCTGAGGAAGCTGTATATTTTGCTCAGAGTGCTTCCACAGTTTCTTCCCAGCCACCTTGAAAATTGGTAATTATTTAAATGTCTTCTTTGGAGCCATATTTCATCCTTTTAAGGTAGATTTTGATTTAGGAAATATAATTAAGTTACTTTTAGAAACATATTTAAGTTAATATTAATAAAATGAGATAATGTGTGTGAAGTACATAGTACAACCCAGTACATAGTAAGTGGTTGATAAATGGTAGCTGCTATTATTAATAATAATTGTCTTTATCATCATTATCATTATTATCTAAAAGCTGAGTTTACCAAATAAAATTAGTGATCTGAATAATTTTGGTCAGTGTACTGATGTGAAAATAAAATAATGAAAATGGCTTTCTTGTTTGTGAAATAGCTTTATCTAAAAGAATTCAGAGTGCTTTTAAGTAATGGCAGCATTATTGGAATAAATATGATAAAAATCTCAAAGGTGTCACCTTTGAAGGATGACATTTGAATTTTGAGTCCTTGTATATTTATTAAGAAGTCAGTCACCTTATTTTATGTTCATGCATATATTTGTCAACCTTTCAATGGAATGATTATAAAAGGTATTTATCAGAAGAATGACATAAAGAGACTATGAGGAATATAGAATGAATGAATGACATGCTGAATGAAATGGCATAAGTTCAAATTCTCTTTCTTATCCTTTTTTCCTTGCTCTGTTAAAATACTTGACATTTTCTTTCCCATACATTTAATTTTGGTATACTCCAAGCATGGGGAGCAGATATAGTTTGTGAGCATGTGATGATGGAGGTAACAGCAATTAAGTACCCCAAACAGGGAAAAAGGGGGCAAGGGAAAGAGAGACAGAAACCTTCCAAACCCAGAGAGAAACTTACACAGTCACTTTTACCTGCACAACAGTGACAGCATCTGTTACTTTAGTACTGAGCTAGGATCTGGGGGACGTGACAGGGTCTTGTAAATCCTGTACATATACGTGTACTACCCTCAGAGAAATGGCATTTAGCAAAACTGCTAAGGAATTAGGTATGCTGTATTATCGTGAAGTGGAACATGAGGGATGAATTTAAAATTTCTTTCCAAAGAAGACCACAACTTACACATTATTTCACATGAGGAACCTGTAAGGTAATTGGCAACATGAATCTGCTTTAGAGGGGAGACAATTGCTCTTCCATAGTCTTTTTGGAGAATAAAGTAGTAGTAAGCCCAATTTAGAATTTCTTGCCTGTCAGCACGCTACCTCAAGTGGGAATTTCTAGAGCTGAGTTAAAGTATACCCCTAATCTTTTGAAGGTTACTGGTCAAAATTTCTATATGTGATTGAATGTTCTGATTAAAAAATAACACAAAAGCACACCATATAAAATTATGTATTATAGTGTTGTCAAAATCCAGGCAAGGATGACTCATATTTTAAAAAATTCTTTTTACAGTATGTTTCATACCATTAAGAGGCATATTTTATATATGAAATGGCCTTATGTTGCTTTCTTATGTATTTTCCCACTTTTTAGACTGTCTATATATAGTACATGACAGAAAATTTATGTTCATAATAGGCATGTATGCAGATGAAATAAATGAGAAATATCTTTAAAATAGCTCGAGGCTCCTTTTGTGCCCCTCTCCCCTTTTGCCTGTTGTTGTGAGTTGGGTTCCCTGGGCAGCACATTCTGCAATGGGCATCTAGTGTGCAGAATAATGAGTGCCCTTGGGATGGACATCCGTGGAAGGAAAGGAAAAGAAGCAGGTTTGGGCAAAAGAAGTTAAGATGCGATGCACTGCCAATGACAGCATCTGCTAACCCCATGGGGAGCTCTGGAGCTAGAATGACCCTTCAGAGTTGTCTGGAGGTGGACCAAGATGGGTGGCCAGGACGTTATAATTCTGCTCATCTATCAGTGGGTGTAGGCTGCCTGGAAGGGATGTGATCTTGGGTGAAGTGGCTCTCTGCAGCTGAGGCAATCCCTGAAGGGACTTAGAGTTGACAGTCCTCCCAACAGCTGGGCAACAGTCCTTCATGGCAGAAAGGTCTGGATGAAGCAGCCCAGAGCCTGCCACACTTGCCTTTTTTTTGTTAAACTAATATTTAGACTATTTATTAGTAAAATTTAGGGAGTTTTTTTGGTAAATAATTAATGGAAATGTTTTAGTTAAAGGGGGTAGATAGATACTGTAATCCTACTGTGGGTATTTGTGAATTCCCTAGAGGTGCTATTTTTGAGCATTCTAGAGTTGGTAGGGGTCATTTTAGTGGTTCCTGTGACCACTTTTGGATCTGCTTGTGGTAAGGACAACCAGTTTTCTTCTAAGAGGTTTACTGGATAATTTTTTTTTTTCTTTTCAAAACTTCTTAGAAAACTCTTTTGGTACCTGAAAGAAAGGGGGAAATGAAGATATTTATAAAGGGATACTTAGCAGTAAAAATCATTGAGGAGGAATGAACTACCTGTAGGGCATTCTTTATTAACATTCAAGTTTTCCTTCAGTCACTTACTACTTAGTAGCATTTATTCTTCAGTCAGTATGGGGCATAACTACCTGTTTTTGTTTTTTTTTTAAGTTTTGGCCTCAAAATAAATTGATCATGATTCTAACAATTTAGATGGGAATAATAATCAATACAAATATTTCTGTGTCTTCCTTTTAGATTCATTTCATGATCTACCTATCTTATAATATATATTATAAATATGTCATTTTGGACCACGACAGGGATGCTAAATGAGCTAATTGCCGAGGACATGTAGTTCTTTCTTTGCCCCAGCTTTATTGAGGGGTGACTGGCAAATAAAAATTATACAATTGACCCTTGAATAGTATGGTTTTGAACTGTCTGTGTAAGTCCACTTATACACATATTTTTTTCAATAAGTATATTGGAAAATTCTTTGGAGATTTGTGACAATTTGAAAAAAAATTCTCTGATGAACTGCATAGCCTAGAAATATTGAAAAAATTAAGAAAGAGATATGTCATGAGTGCATAAAATATATGTAGATACTAGTCTATTTATGTGTTAAATTGATTATTTGTGTTACCAGTAAGGCTTCTGGTCAGCAGTTGGCTATTAATGTTTAGGTTTTAAGGGAGTCAAAAGTTATATGTGGATTTTTGACTACACAAGGAATGGCACCCCTAACCCTTGCATTGTTCAGGAATCAACTGTGTATGTTTAATATGTAGAATGTGATGTTTTGATGTAGATATACATTGTGAAATGATTACCATAGTCAAGCTAATAAATGGACCATAGCTCTTATGTAAGAACAGTAGAGACAATCTTTGGCTGTTTTAGCCCATACTTATTTGTCACTCTAGATTCACAGCTATAACTTTTGGGACATTAGGTGAGTCCATATTCTAAATTTGGCCCTGGACTTACTGCCTAGATATCTTGCCTAGACTTTTTGGCAGAACATCTGGTTCCTAAACGTACTTTAATTCTTCTTCAACTCAGGTATAAAAAATTGCTAAGCCTCATGCTTTTTCCTAAAAATCTTACTTTTTTCTTATATAGACCAAACTTGTTTTTTTTAAAAAAGCACATTTATAATAGTTGAAAATGTAGTTAGTGTGGATTAAAAGTAAATTTATATATAGGAGTGCATTTGAATGATTTTGCTTTCAATGGGATTTTATTTAATGAATTTATTAGTATGTAGGTTTAATCACTTTCTATAGCTGAGAAACTTAAGAGTCATTTCTGATCTTTAACCCATCAGAATTAAAGATAAGGTATTTTTTGAAAAGTCAATGGGGGAAAGGAACTGATTTACAGTAGCTCTATTTTTGTACAACTTATTCAAGCAATTAAGTGAAAATTAAATGATCTGAAATTTTTAACTAAGTGTAGAGTTCTGCTGCCTTAAATCCTTTGACTGGAGAGTGGGGGGATGTTGGCTGTAATTAAAGTAAAGTCTAGAGAGCTAGGTTTTACTTCTGGCATATAGAATATAATGTGAAAGCTGTTTCTGAAAGGCCATGGGCATTGATATGTTTTGGAAAAATGCCCCAAGAAAGTTAACTATTTGGCAATTATTTAAATGGACTTGATTTCATTATCAATTTCCTTAGGACCAATAGCTTGAAGCTGGAAGGTGTAAAGAAATTATGGGGGAAAGAGGGCTATCTTCCCAAGAAAGAAAGCAAAACTGGTGATGAAAGTGAAACTCCACCTATTCCTCAAGAGAGTACAATAATGGAGAATGTAGATCAAGCTATAACCAAAAAGGATCAATCTCAAGTTCTTACCCAATCTAAAGAAGAAAAAGAAAAGCAGCTGCTGGCATCATCATTATTTGTTGGGCTAGGATCAGACAATACAATCAGTCTGGTAAGTAATCAATAATATTCCAAAAGAATCTGTGTCCCCTAGTTGTACAAAAAACTGGCTCTATAAAAGCTCCTGGCTGACATCTACACACATGGTGAGAAATGGCTCTCACTTGCTCTCATATCCCAGCTCTAGAGCTACCGGTGATACACCTTTATAATCCAGAAAGAGAAAATCCAATTGGTTCAACTTGAGTCAGGTGTTCTCTTCAGTCCAGTCAGCTAGGGTAAGGGTCACGGTCCAAATAAAGTTACAAATACGATCACAAGTACTCTTACCCCTGTGGGTGGATGGGACAGTTCTTGAAGGGAAGGGGGCTGAATAATAATAGTTCAACAATATGGGTGTATCTGTGGAAAAAGCACATCGCAAAATGGTATTTTTAATAGTGAAAAATAAGAATCAATTTAGATGTCTAACTGTAGGCGAATGGTGACATAAATTATATTCTCTCAGAATATTATTCAGCTCTAAAGATGATCAATATTACATTATAAAAGGAAAAAATACTTACATATTTTGAAAAATGCAGAGTATAAATTTTTTTTTATACTTGTCTATAACTAAGACTGAAAGGAATGACACAAAAATGATAATTATATTCAGATATTAGGATTATGATTATTTTCAAACTTTTAATGCTGATATATTATTTTTATAGTAAAAGAATAAAAAGTTGGGTGAAGGACAGGTGCTATTTTTGAGCATCTGGGAATACCATAGAATCCTCCTTTTGGTGGCTGATGAATCCACCTAGTATGAAATTGTGATTAGAGCAACACCCTAGTTCTTTCATCCTCCTTCTCCCTTGGTGGAGTTTTCCCATCATTCCTGTCAGCAGTAGGCCAGATGGTGTATACCATACTATAATCTTTATCTGTGCCTTTCTTTTTTAGACTCACCAATCTTGATCCCATTTCTGTCAGACTTGATATTCTCTCTCAATAAGAAAAAACATATTCAATCTAAATGTATTAATAATTAATTAATTTTAATGTCTCAGTTGCCATTTGCAGTTCAGCAGCAAAGTGACTGATCCTGGGTCTTTGAGTTGTTCTGGCAGGCTCAACAAGGTGAGAGGGTACCAGTGAGTGCTCTAGTAAGAGCGCGCCAAAGTCAGATGATACCCAGGCTCATGGAGCCCTGATCTGTCACCCTTATTGCTGATATAGAAGTATTTCTGCTTACTTAACAAGTGCGTAGCTTTCTGTTAGATTTTTTTCTTCAGGAGAACATTCAGGGTGATAAATTAATACCAGATTTTATGTGATAAACTTGAAATCAAATGTAATTTAGAATTTTTTTCTATTTAAATTAATAATGCTAAATTCTTTTTGGGTTACCCCTTATACTACACCCCCACCCTCCACCCAGCTATCACCAAATAGTAGAAAAAGGAGTGTATTTCCCTGTTTTACAGGACCCTAAATTCTGTGAGGAACTGTGTTGTAACTCAGATGGCATCATGCAGAAGGGGAAGCTAATGATGACATAAAATTAGCATGTATCCTCTCAACCCCCACTTTTCTTCGCACTAGGGCAAGCCAGACAGCATTGGGACTGACTGAGTGTGCTCCTTCTGTGCCATGCCTCTTTTTGGATCGCTGGTTTTCTCCAGCAATCCTATTCCCTGGGATTTCTCTGATGTTTAGGGTCTTAGTTACATAGATGAAGACTATATTGATGTATTTCATTTAAACTATCTTTTATTTTTAGATCTGCAATCCATTTTGAATAATTTTTTACATAGTTCACTGTAAGGGTCAAAGTTTTCTTTTCACCTTTGGCTTTTTATTTCATCTTCATTTTTATTAATAAAAGACATTTCCTCTGGGAATGCTATGCTAGGCTGCCTGTTTCTTTTCTTCAAGTATTTTAACAAAGATGTCACTACAGTGTCTTTTGGCTTGTGTAGCTGTATTAATCAGATTAACAGCAGATTGACAGTACAGAAGAAAAGTTCATTAAACTTGAAGACAAAGTAATAGAAACTATCCAAAATGAAACATAGAAAGAAAAAACAAAAAACAAAAAAAAAAAAAAAGAGGGAGAGAGAGAGCATCAGTGACCTGAGGGACAGTATCAAGTAGTCTAATATACATCTAATTCAAGTCCCATAACTAGTGGAAATAGAAATCCTCTCCCCATTCCCCCTTTCTCTTGTTTTTATGTTAATGGGATGTTAGATCTTGTTTGCTGACTTTTGATTTGGGATGTAAGAGACAAACTCGTCTGTTGAGAGTTGGAAAAAGGTGTCGGGGCTTCAGGGGAGTAGAGAATGCATGCAAAGGAAACAAGAATTCAGGTTAACTAGAATCATGTGAGGGGTGCCATGCAGGGTTGAAGCCCCCAGGGGGACGGAGAAGTAGACGTAGTGCCAGTAGGCTGTGCTGATTCTAGATAGAACTTTATGAAGCAAAGGAGCACTTGAACCAGTGCTCTTCTTACATAGACTCACAGACCACTATTCAGAAGATTTAGTACAAGGAAGGCAAATTTGCTGTTCCTGTCTCCTGAGTCTATGGCAAACATCACCACCCAGTTACAGAATTCTTTCCTGCTGAGTGTTCCAATTAGCCACTGCCAGTTGATTCTTGAGGTAAAACTAGTTTTTCTTCCCTGCTTATTAACTCACAGGCCATGAAATCATGATTGTTATAGATTACTAAAACAGTTTGAGTCATCCCTGTATTTAAAAATAACTTAAACTTCTACAAAAAAACTCTAAAAACTCAAAAAATGGTTAGATTTCTCACTATTTTTAATTTGTTCAATTCTGTAATCTAGTATTGTGAAATCTAAAAAGTTTTCAGAATTGTTCATGACTGACTTTTTGACCTTATTTCTTTTCCTGATTCTATGTGTTTTTTATGAGAAATAAGATTTAGCTAATAGTTCAAAGTTACGTAGCTGTCAGAATTTTAGGGCTTAACATTTTATTTTATTCATCTCATTCTTTGTTAATCAATGCTTTATAGATAGAACCTTAGCAAGTTAGTAAATTGCTGATTTGAAATTATAGAAGAATTTTAAAAACTCATGACTAGTAGAATGATTTCTTTTTATATTATTATGTTTTATTTTTACAGCTTGGAAAAGCAGATACCGTTTCTCACAAGTTCAGAAAGAAATCAAAAGTCAAGGAAACCAAAAGTGGAGAAATGACCAGTATTCATAATATAACCTGTTCTTCCTTTAGTTCTTTGTCAAATGTGGCATATGAAGGAGATTATTATTTGAATACTTTGCAGGATAGAAGAGATAAAGAATTTAAGAAATTTTCTCTCAATTCGGAACTTTTGGATTCTGAGTCACTTGCAGAGCTACACTTGGTTGAGAAACTCTCAAATTGCAGCCTGTCTACGCCTTCTTTGTTTGATGATAACAACATGGAAATTTTTCACCCTCCTCAATCTACTGCAGCCTCAGTTGCCAAGGAAATCTCTTTAGCTTCTTCTTTGTTGGAAGAAACTACTGAATACATACATTCAAATCTCATAGAAGTCTGTAATAATGAAACCGTATCAGTGTCTTCTTACAAAATTTGGAAAGATGACTGCTTATTGATGGTCTGGTCAGTCACTAATAAGAGTGGTTTGGAATTGAAAAGTGCTAACTTAGAAATTTTTCCTGCAGAAAATTTTAAGGTAAGACAAGGGTGCCTAGATGGCATTCATCATTTCTGCCTTAAATGGACAATGCTTACTTAGTGTTCCTACTGTTGGCTCTTTGAATGGTTTATAAATTTCTTCCCCATCCTTCTTACTTCTTTAACAAAAACAGGTAAAAGCTATGACAAATTTTTTATTATTTTGAGTAGAGACAAATTATTCAAAAGAGACAAGGAAAGCATAATCAAGATTGTATTAGGGTTGGGCATGGTAGCTCATGCCTGTAATCCCAGCACTTTGGGAGGCCAAGGTGGTAGGATTCCTTTAGGATAGGAGTTCGAGACCAGCCTGGGCAACATAGTGAGAC